TCTTTCTTTATTTCTTCCTTTCTTTCAATTTCTCCTCTCTCTGCCTCACTGTCTCTTCATCATCTGTTCTCATTGTTTTTTGTTTCTTTCCTGCTCTTTCTCTCTCTCCTTTTCCTTTTTTTCTCTCTCACTCACTTTTACTGTCTCCCCATCTCCCTCTCTTTCTCGCTCTTTCTCTTTTTCTTTCTTATTCTCTTTTTCTTCCCCTCTCTCTATTTCTCTTCTGTCTTTCTCTCTAAATTTCTCTTCTCTTTTTGTTATGCTTTTTCCTCTCTTTCTCTCTAGCTCTCTCACTTTCATCTTTTTTTATTCTCTCACTATTTTTCTTCTGTCACTCTCTCTCCTCTTCTTTCTTTCCTTCTTCCTTTCTTTCTTTCTTTGTTTATATATTTTTCTCTCTCTGGTTCACTCTCATTTTCCTTTCTCTTGCTCTTTCTCTCAGTTTCTCTTCTGTCCCTCATCTCTCTCTCTCTTTCTCTCTCCCTCCCTCTCTCTCTCTCTCTCTCCCTCACACCTCATCATCTTCTCCTTCATCTGTGTGTGTGTGAAGTTTGAGAGAGGGATGACACTCTTTCCCCTTCAGAGCAGGATGCATAAGTTATTCATTTCACCCTTGTTACTAATTCAGGCTGGAGAGCGCTCCCCACTGTCTGCACCTCAGACTCAGGAGAGTTTGAATGGCACTGCTTCGTTCAGCATGTTGGCACTGTACTGTATTTTAACATTTTTAGATGTCGCCAACAGCAGACAAGCAGAAGGCTCTGTTTGACTAACGATGATAGCCTTGAATGCTGCACACAGAGAAAGCTCAACCTTTGTTCTGTAACAGACACGGCTGAAGCTCTGAGAGGAGAACTGTGAATTTGCATCTAGACGCTGCAGAGTGTGGTGAGCTCAGCTGAAAGTGAACAAATAGATCCAGACGAACAGCGCTGTGAGCTGTTCACATGTTTCTATAGGCACTGTGTAATAAGATTTACACGATCTCACGTCATCATAATTGTTGCTAATTCTTGGTTTCAGTTTAACAATCCCGAGCTGAGTGAGACTGAGTGAGGAAATGGGTGTACATTACGCTGTGAATAGGATAGGATAGGCAGTAGTATTGCAGGTTGATGTTCAAAGTGGTGTTGAGATCATTAAAGGGCCCATGTCATGGGAAAATGAATGTTTGATGCAGTATGTAAACACTGTAAAAGTTTCAGAATACACTGTTGACACCTTAGTTCATAAAGTCCACATATGAGAAACAGCCTGTTTTGAACTTGCTGTGTTTGTGATGTCACAAAAACAAGCCAACAACAGGTTAGCCCCACCCATTCACACTGAAGTTGTAAGTAGTTTTTCAGCTCAGACTGCTTTTTGAAAGAGGTGCAATACAAGGCAGCCAATCAGAACTGTGATCATTTACATCTGAAAGGCACAGAGTCAAAAACAGTGTGTTTAATATGTGACACGGATTTGTCTTTTATGTGACAGTGTGAACCGCAAAAAACACATTGAATCTGACAGTTTCAATTCAGATTTGGGCAACTGTCATATGTGGTGCTGAACTCTGATACATATCTGATACACGGCGATGTGACCTCTGTCTGAACTGTGTGAGTGACCAAACAACAAAGTCAGGGTTGGGCAGTAAATCGGATTTGAGCCTCTTTTACTTGCAGTCTGAATGTATCTGTATGAGTTTGGAAATGGTCATGTAAAAATTAAATTTAGAATGTTTTTTGGTACACAATAAACATCATAAGTTGTAGGATATGGGCCCTTTAACTGAAGACTAAAGGTGAAGTTATATACATTTGGAAAAAATAGTAAAGCTTAGTCACTGTCTTAATAAATCATTACCACATGATCTACAAACCACAAACGATGCAGACCAAGACTGTAACTGATTATCTGAGTTTCAGGTTTGGTCTGCATCATTTGTGAAATATGACGGTTGTATATATTATAAGCCTCATACTAATTATATGACAGTATCAGGCTTATAATATGTAAAAATGTCATGTTTCAGGTGTGCACATCAAAAGGAATGTTGTTGATGCTACACTCTACCTAATTAGTTTGCACAGCTCTGTTGAGTCATGCAGTGACAGCACTAGTCATAAGAAAAGCGTACATTGCCATTAGTTATAAGCAGTCACAACTACCTCTTTCATGATCATGTTATGCTAAAATGATCAATATAGTGTTGTAGTATGGAGTTGCCAGGGTTACTGCTGTACGCATAAGCATGATGTGATGTTAGCACTGTATAACGACACTCCTTGTTAAGCAGTGAGAGTGCAAAATGACACATGAGCACATACAGGCTGTCATAAATGTAAAGAAAGCCCTGATTAATGCAGATGCAGCATCCACAGCTGACTAGGGGAAGGGGATGCTAAAAGAGAACAGTGGGGCCGGCAGTAAGGAGAAGCACAGATGAAAAAGAGACTGAAGTGTGAAGAAAGTGAGCGCAGGGTTTTTGTCAGGGAGGCTGTGGCAAGGTATAATTAGGGCCTGGTAGCAGAGAGCGTGAGTGAGACAGGAGGGAGGAGAGAGATGTCTGTCTTGGGCAGGGATGGCTCTCTATCTGTCTCTCTCCAGAGCCTGTCCAATTAGAGCAATATGATGAACTCCAAACGATTCGCAGCAAAATGGAATCTATTGGACATTTGCTGAGTCCACCGGACGAGAGCAATTTAGAGCCTGCCTGCTCTGATTAGAGCCACTGATAGCCAGCCAGGTGCTTTCATCTCACTGCTTACTGCAAAGAGGAGGAGGATGAAAGAGTGAGAGGTGAGGGAGGACTGCAGATCCAGAGAGAAAGAATGTGAGGACGTGGAGGGTCAAAGTGCAGAAGGAGGTTTGGGAAATTAACCAGTATTACGAAAGAAGTCATTTACATAGCTGGGGATGCACTGATCCCACTTTTTATCAATACTGATTCCAGTATCTGAACTCTGAGTATTGATTTGGTACCAGTGATCTTTTTTTTCTTCTTCAGTGCATAAAAAAAACATTTATGTGCATAATAAAACGTGGGGCAATGACCACAAATCATTTTTTAAAAGAGAAAAACAGCAAGTCATTATACAGTGGCCCCAAAAAGTATTTGGACATTTGTGCACATACTTACCAGGTGTCATTTTCTTTTTGGTAAAGTATTTTTTCAATGCTGTGTTTCAAGTGGTTATGTATTTGCAGGCGTTTAGGTTTGCGTCCAAAATGCCTTTGTACACTTGTGAGTTCTTGATCCCATCAATAAAAAACAGCCCCAGGCTTTGATGCTTCAACCTCTGTGTCTTACAGAGCTGTTAGTGCAGTCCGGTTAAAATTCTTCTCCAGACTTTCTCCACTAAACAGGCTAGTAAACAGTTTGATACAGTGCTAAAAGTGTTTTTCTCTGAAACAAATATAATTTTGTTAAACATTTTGTGAAGTACTCTTTTAGGTTTAGCAATGGTTAAATGATAAGTCTCCAAATACTTTTGCAGACCACTTTATTAGATAATAACTAAAATAAGTGTATGACGCTACTGGATAATGATCATGACTAATGTATGGTATGTTTGAGCACTCTGCAAAAGTCAGAGACCACATTTACTTATTTAATTTTTATTTTATTTCCAGTCAAAACAGCCATTAAGTATGTTATTAATCCTTAGGAGATGTTTCTGAGAACATTAGATATATGATACTCCACTTTTATAAGGAAAAATAAGTGAAATCAGGAGTTTCCAAAAAAAAAAACTATGATGAACAGAAGTTAAAGCTGTCATCTTTGAGTGAGAGAGAAGAAAAAACACTGTGAGTCTGAAAGGATGTGTAGGTGTCAAGAAGCTGTTACTGAGAAAAGGAAACAGACACAAAAAAGAATAACATTTTCAAATCAAACAAAGAAGCAAAGAAACTGCTGGTGCTGCAGAAAAATTGGAGAGTTGTGAAAAATATCCCTGCAGATTTCTTTGAAAAACAAAAAGCTGCCTGAAAAAAGAAAGAAAAAGAAAGGAAACTGTAATAAAGGTAAAGTGGGGCCACACTAAATACTGAGAAAAATTATATTATATTTTGTTGTTTGTGCTCCTGTGTTAAATACATGATTTCTGTTTCTTTTCCTTACACTGGAATGATGACTAACTTGATCAACCCATTTTGACTGGAAATTAAATAAATTTACGGTGGCCTCTTTTGCACAGTACTTTTAAACACTCACTGATGCTAAGGGCTTTGCATTTATCTGTTCTGTCTGTTTATTGTTACCTTACCTTCACTGTTTTGTAAAGTGTTATGAAGAGTTTTTGACCCGTAAATCTGTCTCTTTGCCTTCAGCACACAGTGACGGGTTGCTAAGTCACCGGCTCCTGACCTGCTCTTGAAATGTGTGAAACGCTGTCAGTGTCCCACTTGTTTTGTTGTACACTGTCACCCAGAGGGGTCTCATCAGTGCTTCTATTACCCTGAAGTGGGACATTTGATTGCTAATTGTCCTACTTTGGCAAAGAAGGAGCGGAGAAAATTGTCTGCTTCGTAAAAGTGTTGCTTTACTTAAAAGCTGGTTTCACTTTGAACAAACTGGATTTGAGTTCAGCCAGGTCTGATGGGGTTTACGGTCCATTTATTTTGGAAGGCTTTGTTTCTCTGAAAGTGGTGGAGTTGAACGGCTGGTTAAGGTTTTGCAGCAGCCGAATTTATTTTCACTGATTCTCTTTGCGAGGTAAACATAGTAGTTCAGTGAGGAATCAGTATGACTATACAGTCAGTATCATCATCAGTATCTTCAGTACACTGTACTATACACTACTGTATGATCCATTTAATATCTGTTTACTGCATTTATTAACTTTTGGACTGTTGACTCTGTATCATCATCTCTGCTGCTGTTTTGTGTTAGATGCAGCGCTGTGTTCCAGAGGAGCTGTATTTCATTCCTCTCAACACATAGCTATGATGAGAAAGAACGACAATAAAGTTTGACTTCAAATGACTCATTTTTCCTTTTTTCTGTCCAACAGACCTGATCACCGCCGAGGCCCTGAGGACCCTCGAGACTATGGAGATGAAGGGGACTCGTTTATGGGACATGCCCCATAACAACAGCAAAACGCCCACATTTCTTCTGCCTTACTATCAGGGACTGGAACACTACAGTGGATCACTTCTTGGTGTCAGAACGACATTTTAACCATAAATTTTCATGCCCTGTACTGTTGCCTTTTTCTATTCAATCTAAACTGATAGACTTTTTCTGAGCAAGATAATGGAATGAATGAGCTTGATTACAATCAGGACCCAGTCTTCTTCTCAGCCCTCAACTGTGGGTGAAAGAGGCAGATGGAGGACTGGAACGTAAACACCGGCACAAAGCTCTGAATCAGAATTGCCTTCATTGGTGTGTTTTGCCTTGATGACAGTGTTGGAGTCTTGAAATATGAATTGAGCTTAATTAATAATAATTTTACATCAACAAACCAACAAATCTTGCTAAATGGCTTTTCAAAGGCTTATCCAAGTACTTTCTGGAATTAAAAATATCCAAAGCCATGGCTGTTGAACGGTGATGAATTCAGCTGGTTTTGATGCAAAGCACTGAAATCGAGCTGCTGTAGCACTCCTCATCATGTTTCCCACGTCTCCCATCTCTCATAGTCTAAAGAGACCAAATCTGATAATGATAACAATGATGAAAGATGTGGAATTCTATAGTTAATGTTGTTTTAACCTGGAAAAGAATGTGTGTAACTATGGTGAGAAGCCCAAACAGAAGCACTTCATGCAAAAGAAACTCCTACCTGCACCAGTACATCCTTCTGAATCACTGTGCATGGACACTTGGTCACACTATAAGTGGTTCACTTGTAGACGCATGTCCATGAGGTCATCTATTTTTGCATGACTCATTTGCATACATGAGCGTAACTCTAGTTTCAGCGATGCCAGCCGCATAAGTGCTGCTTACTGCTCCCTTATCTGCCTTTGGCAATGCTTGAAAGAGTTCTTTTTTACATCTAGCCTTTCATCTTGAGCGCTGTTTTCATTTTATGGCATTAATGAAAAATGTCACAAATCTTTGTTCTTGGGAGGAACTTTGGAAAAGCTTGAGAAAGTTGTATTTTTAAACAGCTTGAAAAATGGAGCAGCTACGGCACTGTTTCTAGCCCCTGCTGTTATTTTGTCGAGATGGTGACACCACTGTAATAAAATGCAGCGATTCACAACTGACAATAAAGTGACAAACGCACAAAAACTTGCTTTCGACCTTACTTAAGAAAAAACAAAGATAGCTGAATTCAATTCCCCAGATATTCTTCACTGCACCTCAGCGATGTCAGACTGAATCATAACTAACACTGCAGCCCAGTGGCAGATCAGGAGGAGGCGATTACAGAAACATATTGCTTTGGCCATTCTTCATGTGAGGCATTATCCTGACCCAGTCATGGCCCCCTTTCAAAGAAACTGGGAATAGGAGGGGCTCGGCCAGGATTCAGAAGGCTGAGGATTAACATTGTGTCTTGCTCTTGGTAAAGGATTTTATTCTGGTGCCAAATGAAATGTTGATTGGTTCACATTTGGCTTAACTACAAGTGGCTTATATCTTCAACTGCGGCTACAAACCCTTCATGTACATAACTGTTCCAAAGTTTGGAACAACTTTAATAATAATTACTCTGTAAATTAGAATTTTAAAAATTAGACAGCAGAAGTTATTTGTCGAAAAGTTTGTAGACACCTGCTCGCCCAACATTTCCTCTGAAATCAAATATATTATAGGGAGCTTGTCCCTTGTTTGCTTCAGTAACAGCCTCTACTCTTCTGAGAAGGCTTTAAACTAGATGTTTGAGCATTGCTGTGAGAGTTTGATTGCATTCAGCCACAAGAGCATTAGTGAGGTCAGATGCTGATGTTGGATGATCAGGTCTGGATCAGTCCAACTCAGGTATTGAATGGAGCTCAATCACTGCAGAGAATACAGTTCCACTACTCCCCAGCCCTATGGTGGGGGGATTTATACCCCTGTAGCCTACACCTTGGAGGCCTTAGGCTGCTCCGGAGCATCCCGTTCTACTAGCAGTGCTTTTTAAGGCTAAACAAGCTGTGTTTGCACAACAGAACATCTGTGTCAGCGGTGGATGCACCTTAAAGTATCTCAATTCACTAATTAGACAAGGTGTTTGGTTAGTTTTGGACACATTGTGTTTTTACATTAATATACTGAGACTAATCACGATTGATCACCATTTTAAAGGCATTCTTGGTGCAAATTGTTATGCAGCTTTGTCAGTTATGAAGAAATCAAGTTCTGTGTATCATTCTGGACACACCTTTTTACAATAAGTATTTGAAAGCTGTTCAGAGTACTAGCATTGTATTTGGATCATTTTATACATTATATGTCCACAACAAAATTAGCTTTACACAGTGATAGTTTAGGCCCATCCTTCTGGACAGACCTCCAGCATACACATACACACCCTGCGCTAACCTTGCTGACCGTGACTGTGCTTACACGCGCTCTATCTCTTTCTGAAACCTGCATTACCGCTGGAGCTCCTCTTTGCTGCCACAGCACTATAGCAGTGGGGAAGCTCATTTAGCCCGTAGCCATGGTTAAAAAGAGCAGCTGCAAATCGGCCCCTGCGTCCACGCTGCTCCCTTTTTAGAAATAATGGGCTTTAATGGTTCCATTTACTCTGCCTGTAACGATTGCTAACTCAGAGCAATACAGCCACATCCGCACTTCTTGCAGCAGGCCCGCTCAGCTGCCTCTTCCCCATTCTTTTTGCCTTTGTGCCAAAATTGCTTTTGACCCCAACAGAAGTAAAAAGCAGTGATGGTGGAGGTTTTAGTGCTATCAAAGGATTGCACACCTCAGCAAACACTGTCATTATATTGTCATCCAAGACAGCTCAATCTTCTGTTTCCGCACCATCAAAGTAACAACAACAAATGTGGTGCAAAACAATGTGGCAGTTGTTAGTGCTAAAGAAAAAACGAAGAACTATCTGATCTAATTTAGTTGCCTTTTTTAACGCAATCAATTACACCTGCTTTCCAAGCTCATCTGTGCTCATCTGCCTTCCTGCAGACGGGCTGCCATTAACCCCCCACCAGCCTGCTTCGGCGGCCAAGGAGATAATGTTTGTGTTGACAAAAATTAATTGCTTTGTGGGTTGTGAGATTAAATTAGTTACGTGAGGTGGGTGCAAGAGGCTGCGCTGCTTTATTGTTGCGTTTTGATGAACCTTTTGTTTTTCTGTGCCATTTACTAGATGTGCAAAGACTAATGTTTAGTTGTTTGTTTGTTCGTGAATTAATCAACAAACATCCTACCAGCACCTACACAGTGCTGATTGGGTCTTTCTGATGTTGAAAAAAAAAACACTTGCAAATGTTCATTAGAATTACTTTGTAAATGTCAAGGCAGTAACAACTTCTAGCCAGTGGTTCATAAATATAACACATTCAGTGTGAATTAAAGAAGAGCATGCAGCTGAAATATAGTCAGCATCATTGGTAACACTTTGTTTACAGTCTAACTACAGGTATCACCAAGGTAAGTGTTGCATACAAACTCCAAAGTGCTAGGCAATTATTCTGGGTAACATGATGTTAAGTTACACGACAGTGCATCTGAATTGCACTGAAATGCCCAACAGGTTCTACGTATTAACTGGGTAGGTGTGTAGTACAGTCTTCACAGTACTGTTTTAATGTTTTGGTGTGAAAAGGACCAGGTAATGATGTGGTATAAGAAGACAATACACATACAAATTGCAGAGAGTCTGTGTAGCATTTACATGCCTGTTACCTATTAAAAAATGCCTATATAGATCATTCTGCCGAATTAGTTCCAAGTCAGAGTTAAAAACCCATTTCAGACTTTTAACTGACTTAGACTTAAGACTAAAATCCGTTTGGTTTAAGTGACCTTAATGCCTTAATTGTGTTTATTTTATTCAAATAAATGATTGAAGATTTGTATTGCATAACTCAAAAATGCCAGTACGTGGCTGCCAAACACAGCTTTAGACAGCTGTACACACATAAAATCAACATATCTTAAAACACAAGCACAAAAGTTTATTGGAGAAAAAATGTGTTTTCGGCTGTGACAAGTTACACACCAATTTTTGACTATGGGACACATTTACTTCAAAACAGTGGGATTTAACTGTTCACCAAATGGCCATGAGGGACAAAAATTCAGGGGTGTAGCTAAAATATAGCTCTGCCTATGGACTAAAACTCTGTTTTGTTTGTGACAAATGTGGGGTAACGTTTTTGAATAAAGTTTTTCCATTTAAAAATTTTGAAAATGCAAAACATCTAAGTATGAAATTAAGGGGTTATATGATTATTTTGTATATAATGAGATTAATCTCAATCAATGTCTTGGGTTTAAATAGATCATAATCCTTGTAAATATCTAAGGTCTGAATACTTAATTGTATTTTATATGTATATATAAATATGTATATGCAGTTTGAACTAATATATGTGTGTGTGTGTCTGTATATATTTATTTACTCATTTATTTACTCATTTCTCAAACTGAAGACAAAAGAGATTTCAATTAAGTTGTTGAAGACTGCACTGCTAAACTAGAAAAAAACATTTTCAGATGAAAAATTGGTCAACCAAACATTTTGTTGCCATTAAAGCTAGCATTGGTGCTGCTATGGCAAGTGATTTAGCAGCCAGCCAACGCTACAGTAACCAACACGGTACCCCTCAAATACCAGGAGGTATTTTGCACACTAATTCGTATGGTTACCAGAGTAACATACCACAGCAAACACGATAAACTGTCTTTAGAGGTTGACACCTATGAATCTAGTACTTTCAAGTTCCCCTCTCTTACCTGGTGAACACCTAGAACTAAGGGAACTGTAAAAGAACACATCCCTTTACTCTTTTCATAGAATACCTGATCATTTATTCTACTTCAAGCCAGTGCTTCAAAACAACGTTCAGTGCCTTAGTTCTTCTGCATTTTACACATTCAAGTCCCTGCTCTGTGTGTGTATGTGTGTATATGACAAGTTGAGAAAGAGACATCTGCATTCCCTGCCTTTATGTCCCAGAAAATCTTCA